CCTGGACACCCTGCCATCATTCTAATTTCTCTGTTTTTAATCTCTCTGAGCATATTCATGCATGTGACTTTAACATTTCTTTAGGAAAAAACCCAAAACTTTAATTACTCAGTTTCTGAAAGACAACTTTCTAAACCATGAGTCTATTATAATGAAATCAAACATCACATTTAGTCTTCCTAAAAATATTACCCCAGCACAATGTCTTTTTGTTCCCACATGCCCATCACCCAAATGCACACACATATACTTTAGACTGTCATTTAGACACTGGAGTGTATAATTTAAATGTCTTTAATAGCATCTACTCAAAGGACATTTGCACATGATTCTTCACTTTACTTCAAAGCTATGATGAAAACTGCAGCTTTTACTAAATAGAAAAATATGTGGATGGCAAATGCTGACAAAATTCTGACAAGATTTTAAAATGCATTCAATTCACCCATTAACAATGGCATCTTTTTCAATTTTCAGCAAAAGTCCTTTATACCCATCTCTCAGCCCAGTGCCTGGTATATATAAAGTATATACTAAATATCAGTTAAATCAATGTTAATACATCTTTATCCTCTTAACACACAAGTCAGACATCTATTGTAATTTTAGTCATAATCTAAATCTATCTGACCTCAACACAAATGCCATTCGAGTCAACAGCAAATAACAAGCAGCTGCTTGCATTCAAAGTATACATACCTCTGTCATTTGACCTGTTTTGAAGTTGTCTTCTTGTTTGGAAGACAAATGGTTAGCAGCTGCAAGTTCAATTTCAAAGTGCTTGGTAGGAAGGCAGAGAAAGAACCGGAGGAATCAATGTGTTGTTTCACATATTAAGCGTGGAATTTCTTTCCAACAAACATCTTTCATTTCCCCAAGGAAACCCAATCTAAGCATGCCCTTTGAACTTAGAAAAACACAGGGCTGTACTTTAGGAAGAACCTAGTTTGAAGGCCAGGCAAAGCTGTGAGAGCAGGGAGTCACTCCTTTTGCATTATCTCCATTTTGTTAATTTTTCTTTAAGGGAGAGTGTGGAGCAATGGAAAAGCCACCAGTCCAAAGGCCCGGATTAATTAGATATATGACAATGAGCAAGTTACTTCCTGCCTTTGTCCATCATTTTCTCCTTCACAAAATAAACAAAAATCAAATAAATTAATAAAAGGGTACTAGGCACTAACAGAATTTTCTGCAATGATGGAAATGTTCTAATCTGTGCTCTCCGATACAGTAGCTACTAGCCACATGGGGCCACCTAGTGCAACTTAGAAACTGATTTTTAAACTTTAATTTTAATTAATTTAAACTTAAATAGCTACATATGGCTAGCTACAGTTTTGGAGAGTGAAGCTCTAAAAAGACCTCTAACATTTTATGCAATCTTTGGAGGGTGGTGGGAAAAGCCTGGGTGTTAAGAGTAGGACAGACCCGGGTTCTAAACTTAGTTCCACCACTTACTACTTGTATAACCTTGCACAAATACTTAACTTCATTTTCCTTCTTTGTATAATAGAATTGTATGACCTTTCTTGCAGAATTTTAGAGCGAATCCAAGATAATGATATAAATGGACCAGATAAACCCTACATAAACAGTAGTTATTTTTCCAGTTATTATGTCCTTCAGGGATAAAAGTTTCATGTCTTCTGACTTCATCCTACTGTTCCTTCCTGAGCTAGGACCCATACTTAATTATTACCCTACATATTTTATTGATTTTGGAGAGGGAGGGAGAAGGAGAGAGGGATGAAAACATCAATGATGAGAATCATCGATTGGCTGCCCCTGCACGCCCCCCCCCCTCGCCCCCCAATTGGGGATCGAGCCAGCAACCCAGGGAATTGAACCGTGACTTCTGGTTCATGGGTCAATGCTCAACCACTGAGCCACACTAGCCAGGCTTACCCTACAGATGTAGCCCTTGTCTTTCAAGAATGCAATTTGCTCAGGAATTATTCCAGGTCCTCAGCTATGGGCGAGCCCTCTGTAACTCAAATCCTCTGTGCCTCCGGAACTGCTGATTTCCGCTTATCCTGTGTCCCCTCCAGCTCACACCAGCATTCAGGAATTCACAAAACTCCTCCCTGTGATTGCATATCAAGCTGAAACTTTGTTCAATGTAACTAAAGCACCTGTCGCTGGTTTCCGGTACTTTCCTCACCAACTCTCCCCTTGACTTCCCCTAATAAATATTTTATGGCCTTTTTAAAATTTAGAAAAGCTTACGACTATCTTTTTTTTTTTTTTTTGCAATTGTTCAGTATACTCAGAAATAGAAATGCTGCAAACTACATTTATGTCTAATCCAGCATTAGTCTAGTTACCAAAATAAAACAAGGTACAGGAGACTGTTTTAGAAAGAGTGTTCCACTAAAATAGTAAAAGTGTTGTAAATCTCTTATCTAAATTAATATGTGTTAAGGGCTTGTTCCAAATATCCCACTGGTCCATCCTTTGGTAAATGGAACCTTTACATGGTTTAAATGACCAAGTTTACACAAATGACCAAGGTAAGCAGGATAAATTATCTGCCCAGCCGGGTGTGGCTCAGCAGTTGAGCATCGACCCAGGAACCAAGAGGTCACCGGTTCGATTCCCAGTAAGGGCATATACCCGGGATGCCGGCTCGATCCCCAGTGTGGGGTGTGCAGGAGGCAGCCAATCAATGATTCTCTCTCATCATTGATGTTTCTATCTCTCTCTCCCTCTCCCTTCCTCTCTGAAATCAATAAAAATATATATTAAAAAAATTATCTATTATTAATAACTGTTAGAATGTTAAGCTGCTCTCTTATTCCCTTCCCCTCCCCCCATTCCGCCCACCCTCATTCCTCAGACTGGAGGAGAGGGGATGGAGAAGAGGGGCTAGGGGAGAGGTACACTGAAATACAGGCTGGCATTTTAGTTGGATTTCAATCTGGATTTGAGTAAGCCATTAGACAAAGGTTTACAGTCAGCTTGGATTCATGCTAACTTCTAAGGCCTCCCCCAATAAAGACATTCTTGAAGGATCAGTTACTGAAGGATGGTATGAAATCAAATAAGACAAATAATTTTGACTCTGGACTCTCAAATATAATGAAGGTCTCGTTTAATTATTTAAAACTAACCTGTATATAACTCAATAATGAAGGAAACATAACCTGGATCCAGACAAACGTGTGAATACAGCAATATGATTGGCTAGTCATGCCTTCTTACATCATCCAAATTTTCAAGACTTAACCTGAATCTAGAACCCAAGTGGCTCATTCACTCAATTGTTCCACTTTGTCTAAAAGTTAATGCACTTAAGAGCATTCAAAAGATTCTGAACTTTTCCTGGTAACAGTTAAACTCAAAATAGGTCAATTCCAGAAAGGCATTCATTTTAAGGGATTTTTGTCTGCGGTTATTTTGAAAACCACTGCTTTTAAAACTGACATTATGAAGCTTAAAAATAGGCCTCTTACTAAGGATCTTGGGCTAAAATACCCTTTTCTTCCCCCATTTCCTTATTTCCCCTTTCCCTCAAACACCTAGGAGAGTGGTACTATAGAGAGGTATCTTCTCCAGAGCTTCAGATTATTATGTGAAAAGGAGTTTTTAAAAAAAATTTTAGGATATTGGACAAAGTTACCAAAATTCAGTGTTGAGTAAAAACTTGAAAATTTTTCAAACCAAATGACAACATGTAATATATACACCATAAGAAAATGAGTGGGAATGAAAACTCAGCCACCTCTTTCCACTCCAGCTGTGTGAACTGCCTGGAAGTTCCTTCCCTTCCGTGAGAAGGGTTTCCCTAGTCTCATAAACGAAGGCACTGGGCTAGAGAATCTGTAAGGTCCCATCCAGCCCTAACAGGCTCTACTTCTCTAAAGCTGGGCCACTGCTTCCTATTTTCATGGCTCCTTGGAAAGAGTAGAAAAGTCCCTGGGCCAGAAGGTTCTTGGGAAGCTTCATCATACTTACTAGTGTTCCCTTGGGACACAAGAACTGCTAATGAGAGCAATGAAAGATGAGATGGCTATAAAATATAAAAGGTGTTGAGAGGGAAAATTCATGTTTTGCAGATGACACTAGTAGATCTAGAAATGCACATATATCCAAATCAAAATATTACTAGATATAATAAGTATATTTAACAAAGCCGCAAAACAACTCATACAAATCAAACCATAGTTAAGCTGGAAATACAAATTTTAAAAGGTTCAATCACAACAGCATCAAAAATGTTAAGTATCTGAAATATATTAACTCAGGACACAAGAGAATTATTCAGAAGAAACTATAACACCATCACAGGAAACATTAATAAATGAAAAGTATACCATGAAAACTTAAAGTTTTCTTTAACCTTACCAAATTAAAAAAGTACCAAAACTATAAGAGTGAGTTAAAAGGAAATTTTATAAATAGAACAAATTACCACAAAGACCAAATAAAGGTAAACTGAAAATATAACAGATGGATAATTAAATCATATTTAATTAACTCCAGTAAGATACCAGAACTCATTGTGGAGAAAAATTAACTTAGACCCCATACCTCAAGTCAAATACATTAATTCATTAATTCCACATGGGACAAAAAGTTAACCATATAAGGGAGAGAAAAAGCTGGAAGAAAATGAAGCCACATACTCCTGCTAGTTATGAAGAGATAACAGATGCCTAAATAAAGAAAAGGAAGCTATACCATAAAAAAGGAATGCTTCTGAAGAGAAAAATAAATAATTTTTTTCTGAAGCAATACAACATAAAGGAAAACATCACAACAGGGTAATGTAGTAACCACATCATTTATAAAACTTTAAAATACAAAGCACACTAACCTATTGCTTCAAAGTCAGAAGACAAGCAATTGTGTATGGGTTAATAAAAGACATGAACTAAGAAAAAATAAAATACAAAGCAAATAAAAACTATTCAGACATATTTTAAAAAACAGAGGGGAAGAAAAGTTTGCCCATGACTTTTCAAAATGTCCAGCTAGCACCAAAAATCCGTCCCACCTACCTCTCCAGCTTCATCTCCTGTGACCTGCACTGATGCACCGGTCACACTAAACTACTTGCCGGCTCCTCCACCCATCCCAAGCGTTCCCACTTGTGTGAAGTGGCTCATCCTTCTCTCTCTTCATGCTTCCCCCACCCCCATTCCCATGGAAATCCTAGCCATCCTTCAAGACCCAGCTCAAATGTCCTCTCCTCCAAGAAGGCTCTCCTAATCTCCTCCACTGGACGTGAGTCTTCCTCTTCTCAATGAGCTCCTACAGTATGTTCTTTGTGCCTCTTCTCTTAGGGCACCTTTCTTACTCTGCGGCCATTTGTTTCCTTCTTGTGCCCCTGGCAACCTCTTCCTCCTAGGTGAGATTTTAACATCTTTGGAGGCAAAGACAGCCTTACTCACCTACCTACAGTTTCTAGCATAGTGAATTACATTCAGTAAACAGTCAAAACATATGAAACTGAATTGATGAAATAAAGAAAAATAATCCCATTTCAAAAATACAGTCTGGCTAACTATTAACATAAAGCAGACTGACCTTTAAAGGAGCCCTTGTACTGCCTACTAAACTATCAAAAACCACTAAACTTAAAAAAAAACACACACACACACAAAACACTTCCTGAATCTTGAGGAAACAGTTGAAATTAATTGTAAATTTCAGTTCTATCTTTTTTGGGGACATATTCTATTAATGTGTAACAACAGCGGTAACATGGTTCATTGCCTCTGATTCTGTGTATGAAGTAAACTAAAGCAGAACAACATAAACTGGTTCAGAACATTTAGAAGAATATCAATAAACAATATTGATATTGATAAAATCTGAAAGCCACCTAAATAATTAACAAAGTGTCATTTGTGAAGCCAGACCCTATCAAATACTACTCTTCAGCCAAAAATAAACAAGTATGAGGATTATGTCCCTGTGTAAAAATGGAGTGGCGGGGGGACTCATCAACTGATCATAACTATCTAAATATGTATATAATGGAAAAACCAAATTAAACTGGAAAACTTAATGTCTGTAGGTTCTTTCTTTAAAAGGTATTTATATATTCAAGTTTTTTGAAAGTTGTGCTTAAGCAGGTTCAAAGAAGGAGTGAGGGAAAAAGAGGTCACTCTATCCTTGTGCACTTTTTGTTCAACTCCCATGTAACCTCTTCTTAAACTGACGCCCTTGCTGACATCAAAGCACGATGCCCCTGGGATCTACACCAAAGAAATTGGAGGCAGGATCAGCATTTTTAGCAGTCGGCCTTGCACCAGGATTCAGAGAACACCTGTTACTTTAAAACAAAACGCCATTCATTGTGGGAGGTGTTAACTTTGCAAACAGGTTTGTGAGCCTCCAAACAGTCTCCTGGGCTTTCAGGCAACAGAACCAGGACACAGGACATAAAGTAAAACCACAATCAAGTGTCAGTAAGAATCAAGGATGATTTTTCAAAACTGGCAACTTCTGCAAGGAAACAACAGAAACAAAACCCTAAGTTTTCTTCTGAGGCTCAACCTCCTCTTCCCAGCCTGTGGGTTCTCTGGATTTGTTTTCTCAACATGTCAGAAAGATTCACTATTGCTTGACCTGTGCTTCCTGTGGATATGCTGGAAATAACTATCAATTCATATAGACTAAAGCTAGAAAGAAGTTTTGTGTTTGTTTGCTTAAACATTATTTTGGCTTTGTCCACTCAACTAAAATTTTAATTGGTATCAACAGTGTTATAAGATTCAGGGGTCCAAAATGGTATGGTCCCTAATAATCAAGAAAGTGTTATGATTAAAAATGATATTGCATTTAATGTGATGTTACACAAATAGTTCAAAAGGAGAGAAATGCAAGTTAACATTAAAAAGGGCATAAGTGGTTGAACATCAACCTATGGACTGGGAGATTGCGGTGCGAACAGGGCAAATGCCCAAATTGTGGGCATGATCACCAGAAGCGGGCATTCTCTCTCATCATTGATGTTTCTATCTCTCCCTCTCCTTTCTTCTCTGAAATCAATTTTTAAAAAAAATTTTTTGTTAATAAAAATACAAAGAGCATAAAACTTAGGATGAATTTTGTTCTTTGGGTACTTTAAAAAAATGTATTATGAATTTTTCCAAACATACAGAAAAATGGAAAGACAAAAACAGCGAAACCCATAAATTAACTAAATAATTGTGAACATTTGCCCCATTTGCTTTTTCCACCATGTGTCTATGTGTATTTTTTGCTGAAACCATTTCAAAATAAGTTTCATGCATCATCTATTAGTCACAACACTCTCCTACATAATCATACTACTATGTCTAAAAAAAAATAACTCTCTATTCAAATTTCCCCAATTGACCCAAGAATGCATTTTATAGCTGTTTCATTTTTTTAAAAATATATTTTATTGATTTTTTACAGAGAGGAAGGGAGAGAGATAGAGAGTCAGAAACACCGATGAGAGAGAAACATCGATCAGCTGCCTCCTGCACATCTCCTACTGGGGATGTGCCCACAACCCAGGTACATGCCCTTGACCGGAATCGAACCTGGTACCTTTCAGTCCACAGACCGACGCTCTATCCACTGAGCCAAACCGGTTTCGGCGCTGTTTCATTTTTTGACTCAGTACCCAATTGAGATTCATGCATTCCATTTAGTCTCTATTCCAGAACAGCACCACTACCCATCCCCCAACCACCCCTTTTTTCCTATGACATTGACTTTTTAAATAGACTGGATCAGTTGTCCTGGAGAATGTTCCGCATCCTGGATTTGTCTGATTGTTTCCTCTTGGTGTCATTTAACTTGTTCCTCTGTCCCTGTGTTTGCTGTAAATAGGAAGTCAGGTCTCAAGGCTTGTTTAGATGCAGGACTGGGTTAGGTTTTAAAGGATGGACAGCATGTTTAATGTCAAAATCTGTATGATTTATCAACATTTGCAATTTAGTATTAAGAATAAAGGGTGCCTTGGCTAGAGTGGCTCAGTTGGTTGAGTATCATCCTGTGCATGAAAAGGTTGCTGAATCGATTCCCAGGCAGGGCATATAGCTGGGTTGCAGGTTCAATTCCCGGTAGGGGAACATACGGAAGGCAACCAATCAATGTTTCTTACATCGATGTTTCTCTCTCTCTTCCTCTAAGCATGTTCTCAGGAGAGGATTAAAAATAAAATAAAGAGAACCAAGATGGCAGCATAGGTAAACACCTGTCCTTGCTGCCTCCCACAACCATATCAAAATTACAACTACAATACAGAACTATCATCCAGAACCGCGGGAAAGTTGGCTGAGAGGAAGTACTACAACTAGAGAGGTAAAGAAGAAAGCACATTGAGACTGGTAAGAGGTGCGGAGGCGCGGAACAGGCTGGCACCCGGTGTGCCGCTTTTTTAATCGGGAGGGAGATACAAGCTCCCGCTTGCTCTGAGCTCCAGTGCTGGGAGAGACTCTGGGGAACCCAGACACATATGGGGATAAACTGGACTGTCTGGCATCGGGCAGGAACATGGAGCAGCTTTCTTCCAGACAGAGGTGCTCACAATGATCATTGTTCCTGTGCTGGGACCTCCCTGGTGCAGGGCTGACTGGTAGCCACTACTGTTTGCTCCACCCTAGAGATTCCCTGAGACCCCGACCAACCCAATTTACAACCCCACCCAAGCTATGCCCAGCAGCTTTTGCATATGAATGGCCTGTCCTTTCTCAGCCTAAAACCTGTCAAATAAATTGCAGCTGGGTCAGGGAGCCCCAAAGCTAGCAAAAGAAGGCCCAAGGCCACACCAGCAACAGCCTGTCTTGCTTCACAGCTGGGCTTCATCTGGGCACTTCCAAACCCCATACAAAGAGGAGGAATATGCAGATCTCTCTGTAGCTCCTGCTAGGTGGCCCCAAGCAGTGGCTGACTTTGCACCTCCTTGGAGATCCAAGAGCCAGTGTACCCAGTGGTCAGTGTGAGACCATACCAGATTACAACTCTTCACATCCATAAGAGACACACTCAAGGGGCAGACTCAGTGAGCACCAAAGCCCCACTGAAGCAAGTCCTGCCCCATAAGGGTGTCTCCTGCACAGCAGCTCTTCCACTGTAGACACAGCTGGTCCTCCCAGCCAATTGGCTTGGAGGTCAATTCCTCCGAGTGATACCAACAGCAATCAAGGCTCAACTACAACAAGACTGTGCACAAAGCCCACAAAGGGGTGCACCAAGAGCATCCACCTCAGGTGATTGGGGAGGCTGAGCCACTGGGTCCTATAGGACACCTACTACACAAGGCCACTCTATCAACTCAAGGAGACTTAGCAGCTACCCAATACATAGAAACAAACACAGGGAAGCAGCCAAAACGTGGAGACAAAGAAACGTGTCACAAATGACAGAAATGGAAGAAAGCAAAATACTGGATATAGAGTTCAAAACCACAGTTATAAGGTTACTCAAGAATCTTCTAGAAACTTCCGAGGAACTTAGTGAGACCTTCAAGGATCTTAGTGAGAATGCCAAAAAAATGGAAAAGGACCAGTCAGAAATTAA